CTCCAACAGCTACGGGGACAAGCATCGCGCTAAGCACATATGCGTGAGATCTATGCAACCAAGCCAAGCACACCTCACTTCTTTAAGTGTTCGAGACCTGGATCACCTTCGGACGAGCCGACCACGTGGAACATGTCCCACTGCCGGGTAGATTCCCGCTGGTTTTGGACCAACTCGTCGACGGCGTTCGACTCACCCAGGTGCGGATGGATGGAGGGAGCGACTCTGAATCCTCTGTGTCAACACCCTCGATGGGATGGAGATCCCTCGCCTCAGAGTTAGGCCGATTGGTGTACCCTTCCACGGGGTCATCTTGGGACACCAGGCCAACTCACTCGGGTAGTTCGATCTACCTGTCACCTTTGGCACCCCCAATAACTACAGGATCAAGAACCTGTGTTTTGAAGTTTATTGATATGCTAGGTTCCTTCCACCCTATCCTGGGCTGCCCCTGCTATGCCAAGTTCATGAAGATACCCAACTAGCCTATCTCCAACTCAAGATGCCAGACCCTAGTGGGGTCATCACAGTGCGATGCCACTTCCAGTATGCCCATCACATTGGTTACGGCGGCGAAGTTCAAGGCCATCAAATAACAAGTGTCATGATCTCCTCGTCATTCTAGGCGGTGCAAGACACCAAGGAGATTGAGATTGACCTGGTGGATCTCGCCAGGGTCATGCATATCGGCCCACGCTCAGCCTCGAGCAGAAGGATGCACTTATCCTTTTTCCTTGACAAATTGGGACATATTTGTGTGGACCACCTTCTACATGTGAGGGGTCCTGAGGGACATTGTATAACATTCCCTGAATGTTCACAAGGATGGCAAGCTCGTCAAGCAACACCTAAGCCTCTTCGGGGAAGACCAGTGCAGGGTCATTGGCGAAAAGATAACAAAGTGTTTGGCGGCAAGCTTCATCATGGAAGTGCATCATGTCGAGTGGCTGGCTAACCTGGTCCTTGTCCTCAAGAAGAACAAGAAGTGGAGTGGAGGATGTGTATCGACTATACTAGTCGGAACAAAGCGTGTCTGAAAGACCCTTCACCTTGTCGAGCATCAACCAAGTGATCGTCTCTGTCGCAGGCTGTGAGGCACTTTGCCTCCTGGACGCCTAGTTGGGTTATCACCAGATCAAGATCAACAAAGGATATGAAATTAAAACGCTCTTCATCATCCCATTCGGCGCCTCCCGCTACACCTCAATGCCTTTTGGCTTGAAAAACATGAGTGCCATGTACCAACGGTGCATCAAATGCTGCTTCCACCATCAGATTGGAAGAAACGTATAGTCTTACATCGACGGTGTGGTGATCAAGATCTGGAAGGAGGGCCCACAGACGGATTTAACAGAGACATTCACCAACCTCGGTAAGTTCAACGTGAAGCTTAGATCGGAAAAGTGCATCTTCGGGATCCCTTTTGGGAAGCTACTCGAATCATCATCTCTGAGTGAGGAATCGAGGCCAACCCCGATAACATTGAAGTTGTCCTCAAGATGGGGCCGCCCAAGAACATGAAGGCCATGTAAAAGCTGGCTGGGTGTGCAGCGACACTCGATTGCTCCATCTTGCGGCTCAGTGAAATGGCAATGCCCCTTTACATGCTCTTGAAGAAGCAACACACTTTCAAGTGGAAGCCGAAGGCGCTCGATGAACTAAAGAAGACACTAACTACATTGATGGTGTTAGTCCCCCCCGTAAGGAGAACCGCTACTGCTGTATGTGGTCGTGACTGCCTTGGTGGTTAGCGTTGTCCTGGTGGTCGAAAGGTCCGAGCCCAGCTACACCCAGAAGGTGTAGCGGCCAATCTATTTCATCAATGAGGTGTTGTTCAAGTTCAAGGTGCGATGCCCATAAATTTAGAAGATCATATATGGCCTGTTTATGATGTCCCAAGTTGGTTCATTACTAACATCCACACACGGTCCACGTGGTCATTGCTTCCCTAATCGCCAAAGTCATCAACAACCAAGATGTGGATTGCCTTGCCCTTTCCATCAATTTGAACTTTTGGTTGCATTGGCTAGTGCATGAAGCTTAACATGGTATCAGGGCCTGAGGTCTTGGGTTCAAGTCTAGGCTTTCGCAAATTATCTAAAGACTGCTGCCCCCCCTCCATGTATAGGGCTCTTTACCCATACCTTTGGGTCTATTCACATGTTGACTTCCCACTTCACATGTGAGAGCGGGTGTTGAAGTTTATGTGGATTGCCTAGCCCTTTCCATCAGTTCAGACTTTTGGTTGCGTTGGCTACCGCATGAAGCTTGACAGTGAAGTGGGTAATGGAACTCATGCTTTTGGTCTGGTCTACACCCCTCACACTGGCATCGAGTCCTCGACGCTCGCCGACTTCGTGGCCGAGTGAAGTGAAGCTCAATCCCTCCCTCCTATAGTCAACCTTGAGTACAGGGTGCAGGGGTTGGTGTCGTACTCACTTGCCCCAAAGAGGAGCATCTCAAGTACATGATGTAACTCTACTTCCCTGCGCCGAGCAATGCAACTGAGTACGAGGCGCTTCTACACGGGTTGCACATCGCCATATCACTTGGTATCCACCGGCTCCTCGCCCGTGGGTACTTGGATCTCTTCGTCTGGTAAGTCATGAAGGAATGGATGTGCACGGATCCCACCATGGAGCCATACTGCCAAGAGGTGTGGAAGCTCCATGCCAAGTTTGACGGGCTAGAACTCATGACGTGCTCTGCCGACACGAGGTGACAGACGAGCTGGCCAACTTAGGCTCCGCGTGAAACTCAGTCCTGTTAGATGTTTCCCTTAGGAGTTGCACTCACCTTCGGTCAGGGAGAAAGTCACCCTTGGGTCTGAGTCGGGCCTGGGAGGGTTGCCTCCACCCTCGACAGAGGATGCTTTGGCTTCAGGGGCGGAAGTCCTCTTTATCAACCCCGGCTAGACTAAGCCCCTCATGTATTACATGATGATGGGAACCCTTCCCTAGGATAAATGACGAGGCTAGGTGTGGCATGTCCGACGCGCCAAACCCAACCACCATCATCAGTGGAGAGCTGCACAAGTGGAGCTCCTTCTATGTCTTCCAAAGGTGCATCTCCGAGGAGGAAGGGTCCTCCAGGAAGTTCACACTGGGGCGCCTGTGGTCACCATGCCGCACCTAAGTCACGTGTCTGGAAAGCCTTCTTGCATGGTTTGTATTGGCCAACCACGGTCGTGGACGCCCAACAGATCGTGCGCACTTGCAAAGGATGCCACTGCTATGCACAGACTCACATGCTGGCACAAGTGCTTCAGACCATCCCTCGCTTTGTTTCGCTGTATGGGACCTGAACCTTGGTAAATCCTCATCTCAAGTGCACCACTCTGAATTTCTGTGCGTACGCTGCCCATGATTGTTATTGTCGGAAATTACACCGACATCTCCTCCGGTCCTCTTGTGCTTGCTGCCCTCTGCCACACTGAGCGCTTGCTTGGTGCATGCATGATTGCTTTGCTGTTGGGCTACCTGCGTGCTTGCTTGTTGATGGGCTGTGTTGTCACGCTCGTAGCCATGACGAGCACTACACCAACCACCAAGCTGGCTGCATCAGCCCCAAATAAATTTTGAATTTAAAATATTTTAGCGTCAAAATATATGATATTGAACCTGGAATGGATGCAAACTTCTGCTGCAGTGGTCAGTTCACTGCCCAGGCTCTCGAAAGGCGTGGGTTCGAGCCATGCCTAACGCATCGACGAAGTTTTCTCTCCAACGCGAATACTAGTTCAAAAAACATAATGGCCAGCACTGTGAGTCGATGGTGACCTCCTGAACACAGGTCGTGTGCCACTCCACTGCGCCAGTAGCCAACTTGTGTTTGCCTTGGCATACAAACCATATTTGACACAATCTTAGGTTGAAGTTCAAAATTTTCAAAAAAGCTGGTGCGGACTGGGCCCAAACCCATGTAACGATTACTAAAGCCGTAGACAGGAAGGGGTATCCTAAGAACCCTAGAACCATTCCCCTTTGGGCCTCCTTCATTTTGCAGGAATTTTGCAGGGATTCTAAAGGATAGGAATTTTGTAGGAAAAATTCTTTTGGATCCCTTTGGTTTGTAGGAATAGAATCATATTCCTATAGAGAGGAACCGATCCTTTGTATTTCAACAGAAAAAAAAATACATTTGCCTAGTTTCAATGGGAAAAAAAGTTCCATCCTATGAGCCAAAGGAGTTCTTGTTGTTCTTCCCACCTACCTTCTCAGCTACTCTTGTTTGCAAATCCTCCTTCTGTGAGTGAAACCGAGAAGCGGGACGTTACATGCGTGCTGCTGGACCGTTGGGCTGCTGATGGCCTGATGCTGCTGTTATTGCTTTGCTGCTAAAATAATTCTGTCTTTATTACATGCCATTTTATTAATTATTTATATATACTCGCTGCATCGCCTTATGGTTCCTTGAAATGCCGTATCCCGTGTCCCTGAGTTTGTATCACTGTGTCCGTGTCCCGTACCGGTGCTGCATAGCTGCTCACTGAGAATTAAGATACCTCAATCAGAATCCACAGAACGATGAAGTTTTTTCTTAGGTTCTTGACTAGCCTACAGCTGGATCCTATTTTGTTGTTTTGATTGTTTGGGCAGGGTAGTAATCAATACATCTAGTTTCTTTGGCAGATAGTCATTATGCTGAGATTAGTTCAGTGATTGTGGTATAACTCCATATTGATGGCTTCTTTTGCTAATTCTCGTCTGCTTGAATTTTTCAAAAATCTCGATCACCACCGAGCTTCAGTTTCACTCTTTCTATATGTTTCAATTTAGTAAATATTAATTTAGCTTGTATACATTTTAAATTTGGTAAAACATCAATTCAGCTTTTAGTTTGCCATATATGTGATGACGATGACTTGAGTAACGGTGGTTGAACTTCCATCAAAATACTCAGGAATGGATTTAAATTTCTAAAAGGAGCAGATCACTTATTATTTGATGACTCCTAAATCCTAATTGCTAATTATTTTCTCTTGTAGGCTGGCACAGCTAATGGCAACTTCACGAGGTTAGATATGAGCTACATTCTTGTTTGTGACAGAACAACAGCATTCTAATTTGCTAAAATATTATGCCCATATATACTTCTTAGCTCATGGCGTGGCTCACATTTGCAATTAAGAGAACATAACAGATAAACCTATTTGTACACTGTGAACTAGGGCAACCTGTTTGCTTAGTGGTCTGAGACTGCCAAATTGGCTGTGCATATTAAACTACGTCCCAAAAAATAATGATCCAGACTATTTTATTTAACTTAGGCAATTTTTTTGGGGGAACTTATTACAGGAAAAGAACATCAGGATTTTTGAGTCTCTGGAGTTACAGTAGCACTAGAATATCTGCGGGGTTGCCTGACCCCAGGCTGTCCCAACTTATGGCTTTCACCAGATCAATCCACTATGTTGACCTTCCCCTTTCTTCTGACCAAACACTGTTTCACATAGCACTCCAACCCTTTGTGATTCTGATTGAACCTTTTCCTAGAGCAACCTGCAAGATCCCCGTTGCAGAGTAGCGGGCAGGAACTCCTGTTACTGCACAGCATGCATGGACATAATTGAATTAACACCCAACAGGGAAAAAAACATGCCTGTGCATCAATAATAATCCAGACTAGTTGCATCACTTGAGCTAGCACACACAATAAGAAACAGTAGCGACAGAAAAGAATATACCTAAATTAATATTTTTCTCAATTAATGAAGGTAAGCCCTCCCTCCCATAATTCAAACCCTGCCTAGTAGGCTAAGTTAATTCAGGCAAACTACTAATAAAATAAAATTGCATTGAGTGAATCAGTATTATTGTTTATTCTGACTAATGGATTTTTTTTGGTGATTTCTACTTTAGGTCATCCACCAAAGCCTGGCAAGAGGTATGTTTTCAATTGTCTTTGCGGATTAAAAGCCTGCACCTATTTCTCATAAAGAAGACAAATATGAGTAGTTCAAAAGCAAAGGATTTTTTTTTCATCATTTCAAATTTAAGAACAAAGCAATAATATATAGATACTGATTTAGGTAGAACTAAGACATAATCATGCTTTTCGTTACACATTTGACTGAATTAGAAAGACTGAGAACATAATTGTGCTTTAGTGTTGGTCAGGAGTTTGTTGATCATCGACTCCTCAGTCGAATAGGACATTATCCTGATTCAAAAGATTTGCCAAGACAGTTGGACATGGTGGCATACTTCCAGGACGAGCCTCCTTGTCAGAAAACTCACTGCACTAATGTGGCGGTTGAGCAGTACAACGCACAACAGCAGGTATGTGTTTATCTGTGCCTGCCTTAGAGAGTAGCGTAAGGTGTTTAGCTTGGGATTTGAGGCGTGAGGGCGTCGCCTGTGCCAATCTAGTTGAGGTGTCGGACAAGTACGACCCATTTGTCTCCACATGGAATGAGAGCAAACCATTCGCAGAACAAAATGTCTCTTATTTAGACATTTCCAAACGTAAATATAGCTGGAAGCTTATCAGGTTGTGCTATCCAACAAGGCAACAACAGAAAGTAGCACTTAAATCAAGTGCCCACATTAGTTCAAGTTTGATGCCTAACCGACGATACAAACTCTAAGGTTGTTATTTGAATACGAAGCCTAAAAAGTTACAGGTTGTGTGTGATTTACTTTGCTATCATACGAAGTGTTGTTTACGCCTCACCACACGCCATAATATTTTGATCTCATCTCAGTATCTCACATCTTTAGATTATCATTTTGTCTTTATTACATTATTTTATATATACACTCGCCGTATTGTCGTATGGCCATTTCTAAAAATTGCTTTATCCCGTGTCCTCATATCCCTATCCCCGTCCCGCATATCTGTATGGCCGTGTCCGTGGCCCCGTATTGGTGCTGCATAGACCAAAAGTATAGTTGAATCGGTGGAATCCTAATCTTTTTGCTTCTAACCTACAGAGTGATGATAAGAAGATAATGCGTGCAGTTGGAGTTGACAGCAACATGTTTATCTTGGACCAGAATGACCCGGTGAGCTACTGGCATGTGTACTTTAAAGCTTATGTAGGGAGAAACCGGTACAGGTGTTTTGCTGAGTTGAGTGGGGAAAAAGGACCCGAATTGCTCAGATATTGCACCGCCGTGAATAAAGGTACAAATGATTACACATCTCTGTCACATTGAATCGATCACTAAAAAACTATTGTTATGAAGTTGATTTTACATTTGTGAAAATACTCATTTTTAGAAAGTACCATGAGTTGTTTATTGCTGGACTATTATTTCTTTCTTTGCTGAGATGTAGTAATATTTTTGTGAAATCAATTATAGCACAACATTTCTTATTTTGCACTCCCTCCGTTCCTAAATATAAGTCTTTTTTAGAGACTTCAGTATGAACTACATACAGATGTATATAGACATATTTTAGAGTGTAGATTCACTCATTTTGCTCCATATGTAGTCCCTTGTTGGAATCTCTAAAAAGACATATTTAGGAACGGAGGGAGTAGTAATTATACACAACACTAATTGGGAGTGATTTATATTTGTGCAGCTTCTGTTGTGTTGTGCAAGTACTGCTTTGGAGGAATATATCACCCTCCCGGAGTAGATTTCACGGGTTCACCACGTCTTCCACCTCCAAATGTATAGGCAGTTCCTGCGAAAGAAAGACCGTCAGCTCGATTGGTTCGAGTCAGTCCTGAAGTAGAAAGAATGTTTCAGTTTGTCCCTTATTACTAATTGAAGTGACATGTGATGTTTTGTTGTTCTGATATGACCAAGATAACAAGTGATTGAACTTGAATCGATGACATGTTCGTTTGGATACCAGAGGCAGGAGAAATGCAGTTGTCCGGCACCCTGTTGTCCAGGAAGGAGAGGCGCTGACAACTGATGCCCGAGGGCTGCCTTGTACCTGCGGTCGTGTTTTCTAGTGCAAACTATCCACTGTAGGGGTTCCTCTGTGAGGAACGAGTTGGTGAGATGTTGGATTAGTGCTGCTGTGTTGAGCTTTTGGTTTGGTGCTGCCATGTTGGCCGATCTGTGCCCCTGTCAAATGTTTCTGATTATCCATGTGTTGGATGCAAAGGTTGACTGATTCTGCTACCATGCCTGATTTTTTTTTTTTGGCTGCCATGTTAGAAGCATTAAGCTGCTGGTTCAGTCCAAGGGTCTGCATTGTTTCATCATGTTAACACAACCGATTAACTTTATGTGTTGGAATGCAAGGGTCCTTAAGTGCCCGGATCATTGCTCATGAGACCATCGTGGCCACTACCTGCCATATTGTTTGTCTCCAAAAGACCAAGCTTGATAATGTCTTGGTAACTTTGCTCAACGTCTGGCGACAGGTACCCACGGTGGCATCCTGGGATGATAACATCTTCGGGGTGTCAAATATTGTTCCCTCTGAATTTTGCCTCTGGTGGACGTCCAGCTACGGGGACGTGATACCACTTTAACCCAACGCCTACCTCCTCTATCGTCCGCACTGCCCCAAAGAAAAGGATACGGTACGGTATGAATCGATTTTTGCTCTTTTTTTAGGGGAACTTGTTGCTTATTTATTCAGAGTTCACAGCTTCATCTGCGTCAATCCCCAGAGTACACACTCCAGAGCTGCATGGAACCAAGTTTTACATAACAAACTACAGCAACCTTCCCGAGCTAGAACATGTGCGACCTTATTCGCAGAGCATCGCACCCAAGCAACCCTAAACTCCTGGAGATACCTAAGCCAACCACTAGCAAAAAAAGGGCCATTTGTCCCGGTTCGTAAGGCCCATCTGTCCCAGTTGCTGAACCGGGACTAAAGGGTCGTTACTAAAACCCTAGGCCTTTAGTCCGGGTTCTTACACGAACCGGGACAGATGTGCCTCCACGTGGCCGGTGCGGCGAGTCCAGGCAGGAGGGCCTTTGGTCCCGGTTGGTGGCATCAACCGGGACCAATAGGCATCCACGCGTCAGCAGCTGGCAGGAGCTGAGCTTTTTTTCTTCTGAAAGGGGGTGGTTTAGGGGGTAATTTAGGGTGTGTTAGCTAGCTAATAGAAAGAAGTGTCCTCTCTTATCTCCGGGCTTGGTTTACCAACGCTACTGCTATGTCTGGCTTAGATGAAAGTGAAGGCAACATGTGGTGCATGTCGAAAGTAGTACTAATCCAAACTTGATTAAGTTTTGATTAGTACTACTTTTGACATGCACCACATGCATGTTGCCTTCACTTCAATCCAATCCATGTTCATTTCATCCACTGATATATAATAACTCTTCATGCTCGCATCATGCATCATCATAATAATAAGTCCTACTAATCATCATCATACAACTTTCTACTCGTTATTAATAACAAGTCATACGATCATCATCCTCATAGTCATCGAACTAACCCTTCTTAATTGTTCTTAGCATATGATCATCAGTATTAAGTAGGACCTAAATACCCTCTTTAAGGAAAAATAGCATAAAACAATATAGACCCTGACTCTCCATTATAGAGAATGGAGATCATCCTGTCTCCAATTCTTGCACTTCGCTTCCTTTTGCTTCCAAGAACCTCCTTACGACTGTCCATACATTTTTTCTATTCTTTGATTTTCATGTCTCCACTTCTTTTAGAAATCTGGTATGGAAAATTGAGATTCGTAGGATGACTTGGCCGTATGTTCAAAACATCAAGGCTACCATTATGATACATCAAATGAGGCACACAAGCCATTGGGATTCTCTGTTGAAAAACATAGTAATAACTTCATAGTTAGCAATGATGTATTACTTTTAGAAGTATGCAAAAGATGCACGGTCGCTGTAATAGTAAAATATCTTACCAGGGCATCTTCATGGAAGTTACCGTAGTTCAACAGATGCACTAGTGGCACATATTGACCATAATGTTGAGGAGTTTGATTGTAGATATTGTAATTCTCAAGATCATGATTGTAGATATTGTAATTCTCAAGATCAGTACAAAATGCGATCAGATGATTTTTCTCCTGATAAGTTAATTCGGAGCCTTCGGTGTAGTAGGTTCTGTCTACCATCTTCCACACATTCTTTGAAGAATGAAAATAAGCTGTCAATGGAAATAAGCTGTCAACTATTTTGAAATAAACAATATAAATTAGCTAATAACTATGTTTGAGAAACTCGCATAGCAGTAGAATTGGAGGCGTATCAACAAGGACCCAAATGTCCATATTGTCTTGCTCGATTTCATGATTACCAAGATCCATGGTGACAAGCATACCCTCATCAAAACCATACATCTTGCAAAGTGCTTCCCATTTTTTGCAACCAAAATGGGTTACGCTCTCAGAATTGTACAACTTTATTTCAAAATCCACACCATGATGGGTCCTTAGGTGAATTTTCTTTGTTTCGGAACTTTCATGGTCTTCAAAACCCATCCTCTCCAAGACATAGCGTCTTGCATGGCATGGGATAAGCTAGTTGAATGTAAAAGATGAAAAGTACACGTTGAAATATTTGAAGTCGTGCTTAATTACGAAAAATAACACTTGTCTTCTTCTTCTTCTTCCTCCTCTTCTTCTTCTTCTTCTTCTTCTTCTTCTTCTTCTTCTTCTTCTTCTTCTTCTTCTTCTTCTTCTTCTTCTTCTTCTTCTTCTTCTTCTTCTTCTTCTTCTTCTTCTTCTTCTTCTTCTTCTTCTTCTTCTTCTTCTTCTTCTTCTTCTTCTTCTTCTTCTTCTTCTTCTTCTTCTTCTTCTTCTTCTTCTTCTTCTTCTTCTTCTTCTTCTTCTTCTTCTTCTTCTTCTTCTTCTTCTTCTTCTTCTTCTT